AGAGGACTGGAGTGCACAGCCTGCCACTGAAGACTGGTCTGCTGCTCCCACTGCTCAGGCAACTGAGTGGGTTGGGACTACCACAGAGTGGTCCTAATGTTACCAGCAGGGATTCCAGAAGGCAGTGAGAAATGAAAATAAAAGATCTTTCTTATTGAACTAGGCTTGGTTTCCTTGTTCTCTCTGGTAGTGCAGGATTATTGCGTTCTCAGATCCAGTAGGTATTTTGTTCCTATTACCGGGAAAAAAATAGGTAAGATGCTTCAATTGCTTTACTAAAAAATTAGTCTTTACATTTTGAGCCATTTTGACATTACTGCTAGAACTATCATTTGAAGTTCAAGTTATATATTTTACAGTGTTTGTTTGAATGCACTTGATGTGTCCAGAATTACAGAGTTAGACGAGAGACCACAAGGGCTACGTAGTCCAATCCCCCTGCAGTGTTCATACTGCTATGGATCCCTTTACAGGCATCTGTCTGTCATGATATGTTCAAGGCCTGGCTCAAATAGCTTTGCTCATATTAATTTATGTTAAGACACTGTGTGAGTGTCACTGGAAGTTTGTTCATTAAAACATTTGTAATCTGCCCTATCTCAGAACAGCATCAGATAAAAATAGTTTAATGACATAGAAGAATGTAAATTCAAAGCTGTAGAATAATTTGAAGTCTAAAATATGCTAATTTAACAAAACAAATGAAAGTTTCTTTCCCCACAGCTCAGCAGAAATTGTTAAACTACTAGAAAGTTTTATCAGAGCCAAAGTTGTTTTGAATGGGGTGGGTGAATGCCATTGTGGCAACAACATACACCTCAATTCTTGCACTTGCCAGGTCTAAAGCTGGGGGCGGAGGGTGGAGAAAGTAAAACAAGAATTTGATAGCCATGATTATCCCAGAAGAGAATGGATCCAGCGGTCTATAAATAAAGTATTTATTATTATTACATTTTTGTTGGGCGATTTCCACAAGTATTTCGTTGAAACCTTATTAAACCATTTATAAAAGTACTTTTGGTGGGAGCAGTTTTCTGCCCCTAGAGTCATACAAACTATCAAACAGCATGAATTAAATTTGTCAGTGGTTGAAGCCCACTTTTAAAAAAATGTATGCAGACTCTGATGGGAGTAGCTATTGTTGCATCAAGAAACTTCCCACATAGCTTCTTTTGCTCTTATGTTAACAGGTTTCTCTCATGATAAGCTGATTTTAGGAAAGAAAGGGACACAATTTAACACCTGAGTGAGACTAGATATAAATCTATACCCTTTAAAGCAGGGGTCCTCAAGCTAAGGCCCGGGGGCCGGATACGGCCCTCTAAGGTCATTTACCCGGCCCTCGCTCAGGGTCAACCTAACTGAAACTACTTGAAAGCACACAACAACAATCCTATCTCATCAGCCAAAAGCAGACCCACACTTCCCATTGAAATACTAATAAGTTTATATTTGTTAAAATTGTTCTTCATTTTAATTACTGTATTGTTTTTAAGTGTTTTTGCACTACAAATAAGATATGTGCAGTGTGCATAGGAATTCATTCATGCTTTTTTCAAATTATAATCCGGCCCTCCAACAGTTTGAGGGACTGTGACCTGGCCCTCTGTTTAAAAAGTTTGAGGACCCCTGCTTTAAAGAGTAAAAATTAAGGTCAGTGTCATGAAACAGTACACAGAAAACATTTTTGCAACAAAACATTTAATAGAAAAGGGGTTTAGTTGTGTTGAGCTTAATTAAACTTATTTAGCGGGCTCTGGTAACCAGCTATATACATTCATTTGCAGAAACAGTCTTATATTGATACATATTTTGATATCAAAATATATGCCAGGTGTGTGGAAAAGTTACATGACCAAATGCATAGTTTCTCAAGGATTTCAGTTACATAGAAGAGAAGATTGAACATAAACCAAAGAAAGTGGCGTCTGTTCAAAGGAAGATTTCCTTAGGATTAGTTTTTTGTATCCCTAAAATGGTCTTGTTCGTGCTTGCTTTGTCATTAACTGCAGTGATGTTCATATACATTTTCATGGCCCTGTGTTTGATGGTGTTGGACTGCAATTGCTGTCACTCATGAACTTTGACTATATTGTGTTGGGATAATGGGAATTAATAGTTCAGTCTGGTCTTCAGTTTTGATTAGAGGCTGGAAAAACATTTCAAACCAAGAACACATTTTAGCCATTCAAAATTTAATCTTCCCATTCAAATGAACTATTCCTTTTAGGAGCGTAACAAAGGCATTTTCATTGGAGTTTCCATAAATACAGTAGAAGGCCTTAGATATCTGCTGAGGTTTGTTCCAGGATTCTCTTCCCCTTGTGGATACACAATCTATGGATGGTAAATTCCCGTTATATATAATGGTGTAGTACAAAAGCAAAACCAAGGTTTAATTTTTGGAGGCAGGGGTAGGAGCCTCACTGTATATTTCAATACATCTTAGAGGTTGCTTTTTTGGGAGGATTTCTGTCCTCGTACATTTCAGTTCACCCTGTTTCAGCAATGTTGGGATGAGCCCTGAAGTTGCTTCTTATTGCCCAGTTGCACATGTTTCTGTCTGAATATGATGTCAAAATTTTCAAAAATGCATACTCTCCAGATAGGACAGTCTACAAACTTACTAATAAAGTACTAGTATAGCAGCCACTGTCCAATCGCTATTGAGCCTTGCCTCTTCCCATTCCAAGTTGACCTCCTTTTGGATAAGGCCCAGATCTTGGTTGATTAGTGTAAGGGACCTCTGCTGTCCTTGGAGTTCCTGGCCGAGTTACAACCACTTGAGGTTTCTCATTGACTCCTCTGGCAATGATAGAATTACTATTTCTGGTTATGTCCTTCATTGCAGAATTGGTGGATTCAGGTTTGTTCGCTTGTAAAGGGAAAAAACAAAACAAGGATTGTCATTTGTTATCCATCTATGCATTATTTCATAATTTTAACTGGTAGATAGATTTCCGCGGACCATATTCATAGATAACAGCAAGAACATATATCTTATTGAGGAGGGCTGGGAAGATGGCAACCCTTCAAATGTTGATGGCCAGGCTGTCCAGAGTTGATAGGAACCGGAATCCCAACTATCCATCTGTCTATTGGGTAATTCTTAACAAGTAATAGTAATATATGATAAGCCCTGAAAGTTTTAATTACATGTAGCACTAGAGTATTAACCAGCCATGTATTCTTTCAAGATTTTGGAAGTCTGGTAATACCATAGGGCCAAAACAGTATGTGCTCTAAGTAGGTACTTTACTTTTTTTTTTTTAAAAAAAAGAACCCCAATACTATTAATAGTTGTGCACTACAAAGCTATACTTTCACTAACATACAACAAAAGTAGGTACTGTTTCATTATCCTATCTGGGCAAGGGCCATAAGGGGGTCTAGATAGAGAAGGAACTGTTGCTTGCTCAAGGCTGACATTTGCTAATAATTTAGGGAGTCTGGGACCATAATCTATATAAATAAAAATGTAATGTTCGTTTGTGGGATTAACATAACTCAGAAACCATTGGATGAATTTATTTATTTCCGGTATTTCTACCCCGTCTCTTCTCTACCTCCGAAGGGGGACTCAGGATGGCTTACTTTTTGGCAGCAATTCGATGCCGCTACATATAAACAGTTACAATAATACTACAACCATTAAAATATATAAAGCATTAATTAAAAACAATACAGAAAGCATTAATTAAAACAATAAACAGTATCATCAGCTGTAACACCATTCCAGTCAATTTCCAACCAAAGTGCTAATTATGTCTGCTACCCAAAATCCTGGTCCCAAAACCACGATTTCAATTTCTTCTTGAAAGCCAGGAGGGATGAAGCCAATCTTCTCTCATTTGGAAGCACGTTCCAGAGGCCGGTGGCCAAAGCCAAGAGGCCCTGTCTCTCGTCCCCGCCAGGGAGTGAGAGCAGGACCTATCCGGATGATCTTAAATTATGAGGTGGGACGTAGAGGCAGATGTGTTAGGACAAGTAAGCTGGGCTAAAACCTTCTAGAGCTTTATAGGTCAAAACCAGCACTTTGAATTGAGCTTGGAAGTGGACCGGTAGCCAGTGGAGCTGACATGATGGGGGTGGTATTTTCCCTGTATGTCGCTCCAGTTAGTAATCTGGCTGCCCTCCGTTGGATTAGCTGGTTTCCGAACCGTCTTCAAAGGCAACCCCATGTAGAGTGCATTGCAATAATCTATTTGGGATGTAACCAGAGCGTGGATGACCGTAGCCAGATCAGACTTCCCAAGGTATGGGCACAGCTGGCGCACAAGTTTTAACTACAAAAGCTCCCCTGGCCACCACCGAAATCTGGGGTTCCAAGCTCAGCGATGAATCCAGGATCACTCCCAAGCTGTGAACCTGTGTCTTCAGGGGGAGTGTAACCCCATCCAACACAGGCTGTAACCCTATGCCCTGTTTGGCCTTTCAACGGACCAGGAGGACCTCTGTCTTGTCTGGATTCAGTTTCAATTTATTGTCATCCAGTCCGACACAGCAGCCAAGCACCGGTTCAAAGTCTGAACAGCCTCCTTAGTAACAGGTGGAAAGGAGTGACAGATTTGGATGTCGTCTGCGTACACCTGCGTATAACACTCCGAAACCCTGGATGATCTCCCCCAGTGGCTTCATGTAGATGTTAAATAACTCCACAAGACAACGGTTGTGGAGTCGAACCAGTGTTACCCAGTAACACCCTCTGGGGCCAACCCTCCAGGAAGGACTGGGGCCAACCCTCCAGGAAGGACTGGAGCCACTGCAGAGCAGTACCTCCAAGCCCCATTCCTGCGAGGTGTCTCAGAAGGATACCATGGTCAACAGTATCGAAGGCTGCTGAGAGGTCCAGCATAACACAAAATTTGTGCACAATACACATATCAGGCCAATGAGTGACCATCACTCATAAAAACACTGAAAAACACAGCATAAGAGACTTAAAAAGGCAAAAAATGCATTACAGCGCATGTGCAAAACCACATATATAAATGCAAACACACATATACATAAATACATACACATAACTCATACACAGACTGTGCTACAGCAACGTGTGGCAGGGGGCGGCTAGTGCATTATAAATATTCTATTTGTCTTCAATTCCAAATGTTGTTCCTATACTTATAAGTTGTCAGAGAGAGAGATACGTTGTGTATCTTACTGCTAAGAGCACCAAGTTTGCTATTGGAGGAAGAGTGTAATACTAGGCCATCTCAATTCTCCCAACAATGAGAAACTACGTAATTCCTTTGACATGGTGCTCCAGACCAATATATTGACCAGAATCAATTGAAGACTACTGGAATAGGTTGTTTTTACCTTCTGCTTGTTTAGGTTCTTCTATGGTCTTCACTTGTGTGACGAGCAAATCTTCTAGATCTTGCAGTGCCGGGTTGGTGGAAGCTTTGTTATTCTTCTTGTTTTTCTCATCTTCCCGTTGCTATGTGAATAAACATATTGGAAGTGATTATAGAATCATAGAATTATAGAGTTGGACGAGACCTCGTGAGCCATCCAGTCCAACCCCTGCCAAGAAGCAGGAAAATCACATTCAAAGGACCCCTGACAGATGGCCACCCAGCCTCTGTTTAAAAGAAGGAGCTTCCACCATGCTCCAGGGCAGAGAGTTCCATTGCTGAACAGCTCTCACAGTTAGGAAGTACTTCCTAATGTTCAGGTGGATTCTCTTTTCCTGTATTTGAAGCCTTTGTTCTGCATCCTAATCTCCAAGGCAGCAAAAAACAAGCGTGCTCCCTCTCCCCTATGACTTCTTCACATATTTATACATGGCCATCATGTCTCCTCTCAGCATTCCCTTCTGTAGGCTAAACATGAGCAGCTCTTTAAGCCGCTCCTCATAGGGCTTGTTCTCCAGACTCTTGATCATTAAATTAGAAGGAATAAGATTATAATATGCACAAGAACTAGGACTCAAGAGAAGACATTGGATGTTTTAAAAATCAGAAAATTATTTAAATTTACTAATAATTGTATATTTAAACAATTAAAAGCTTCCCACTACCTATCAGTTGGAAGTTATGCACCACTACTTTTGAAAAGACAGAGAAGATTAGATGAATATCAGAGAAGCATCCTACAGAACACCTTGGCCATTCACCTGATTTTACTTATGTGAAACGTCTGACTGTTGGGCAGTTTTTAGTTTGCATTGCTCCATTGCTTTCAGAAAAAATGAAAATATAACTAGCAAAGGCAAATTCAGGAAAATCTAGGCCTCTGCATCCATTCACTGTATCATTGGCTCTTTGGAATTCTATACCTATGGTTTTTATTGTCTGAATTCCAGAATTCACACGACTGAGTTATCTCAAACATAAAAATTTGTTTTAAAAGTCTCAGCTCAGTACCAAAGAGTTATTATTTTGTACTATTTCTCCTAGAAAGTTAGAGTGAACATGGTCAGAAGATGTTCCAGAAGCATTCTCTCCTGACGTTTTACCCACATCTATGGCAGGCATCCTCAGAGATGCAGTCTATTGGAAACTAGGCAAGTGAGGTTTATATATCTGTGGAATGTCCAGGGTGGGAGAAAGAATTATTTTCTGTTTGAGGCAGGTGTGAATGTTCCAATTGGCCACCTTGATAAGCATTTAATAGCCTTGCAGCATCAACACCTCCCAACAAAGGATCCCTAGGCAGCAACCAGCCAGGCTTTGAAGCTGCAAGGTAATTAAATGCTAATCAAGGTGGCCAATTGCAACATTCACACTTGCCTCAAACAGACAAGAGTTCTTTCTCTCACATTGGACATTCCACAGATATATAAGCCTCACTTGCCTAGTTTCCAACAGACCTCATCTCTGAGGATGCCTGCCATAGATGTGGGTGAAACATCAGGAGAGAATACTTCTGGAGCATGGCCTTACAGCTCGGAAAACCCACAGAAACCCAGTGATTTTGGGCATGAAAGCCTTCGACAACACAAGGTCACTTTCAAACCTACATCAACAATGCAGTTCATTAATCGTTCACATATGGAGTGTCACTTTTGCTTTAGTATTTTTGTATTATGCATAGCTGAAATAGTTATGCATGCATTAATCTATTATACACTTTTTAAAATGCAGTATATGGACACCACTGCCATTTCACTATGGATTTAGTCTGAATTCAAGATGTCCACCTGGAGGAAGAATCCATGTATGAAACCGCAAAGTAAACCCAGTCACAAGTAATTCTGTGACAAAACATACACACAAGCATGTTATACAGTAGGCCTGCCTATTACACAAGCTCAGTTTCAGTTATATGCAAAAAGCCTTGGATACTATAGAATTGTGCAGGAGGAACTAGTCATGCCTAGAAAAGTATTTCCTAAATCTCTACTCAGAGCTTCACCATAACATAATGTTGGGGCCTCGAGAGAAGGGTTCTCTGGGCATTATTAGGTCTTTGCAATTCCATGACATACTTTGACTGGAAGTCCAAAAGATTGTACTTTTCAAGTAAGAAAAATAGAGTTCTGGATCATATATGATGATCGTATTACACAAAGGGTCCTGGAACAGATCTCTCAATGATACATGGGCCTAATATACTTTAATTTGTAAACCAACTTGATAAAACACAAAATATACCATTAACATTTTCTTCTTCAGCTCTGCATTGGCATGTTGATATGCTTCAGCCACAGCATTGAGATAATATATAGCAAGACTGCAAAAATAAACACATGTTTTAAATTAGTGTGCAGCCTCAGAATGATTCAAGATAGATAACGAGGCACAACAATAATTAGGTAACTACCATAAATAAAAAAAATCATTCATATCAAAGAATGCTATCTTTGCTAAACATACATTCATGGGATTTGGGGTTAAAATCTATATTCATCCAGTCTGAATCAAATGGGTAAAGGGAAAGGTTTCTACATGATATCAAGTCATGTCTGACTCTACGGGGTGGTGCTTATCTCCATTTTGAAGCTGAAGAGCCGGCGTTGTCCGTAGACACCTCCAAGGTCATGTGGCCAGCATGGAGTGCCATTACCTTCCCGCAGAAGTGGTACCTATTGATCTACTCACATTTGCATGTTTTCGAACTGCTAGGTTGGCAGAAGCTGGGCCTAACAGAGGGAGCTCATCCCGCTCCCCGGATTTGAACCGGCGACCTTTTGGTCAGCAAGTTATTATTATTATTATTATTAACTTTATTTGTACCCCGCTAGCATCTCCCGAGGGACTCGATGCTCATAAAACAATTTTTATTAAATATTTAAAGAAGAGGACTCAGGAAAGTAATGACAACTAGTTTGTAAATGGTCAATTTGACAAGATCCATGTATGGAGAAAGTATAATATCCAAAAAGCATACAGTATATAATTTTATCAACATTCCCAATATACAGTGGCATACAGTCCCCCTTGATGGACTGTCACCTTGTCGTGGTGAGGGGGCTTGCGCTCCGATGAACCTGTAGGCACAACAACTGGAGTCGTGCACTCCCAGGAGTAGCCGCGGGGGAGGTTCCAGACCAAGCACAGTCTGAAGACCCAAAGACCTCAACGGCGGAGCAGGCGGAGGATAACATGGTACATGTTACAACGGCTGCGAAGGCGGAAGAAGGCTGCAACAGACTGAGAAGCCACGGTCATTTTGTTAAACTACATCACCAGTGGAACCTCACTCTGTGAAGTCTGTGTGTTGATCAGTTGTGCACTGACCTCCACACATTAAAAAAACCCACGCACAGGCGTCTTCCAAAGAAAATAAAAACAAACCAACCAAAGTCCCATGGCGACCAGCGAGTGGCAACGGGGGCAGGACTGTGAAATCTGGAAGCCCCTAGTCACAGACTGGCACATCGGCGGTGGGTACGGACTCAGTCGTTCTACCTCAAGGTCCGAGGCAGTTGAGTAGTTCGGCAGCTGTATCCGCGACTGAGCAGCCCTTTTGAGGACCCACTCTGCTCACCCCACATGGGGAGGGGGCTAGAAAAGGTGCCCTAAACATAGTCTGCCTCACTTATCCCTGACTGGACTGCCGCGTCCAGTGGGGTCACCACCCTGCGGCCAAAAAAGGAAAATGAACTTCGGTACGTGGAACGTACGGACTCTGATGGACAACAGTGGCAGTGAACGCCCCGAACACAGAACTGCCATCATTGCAAGGGAGCTGGGACGCTTCAACATTGACATAGCAGCCCTTCAGGAGACCCGGAGAGCAGGAGAGGGACAGCTGAAGGAAGAAAAAGGAGGCTACACCTTCTTCTGGAAGGGACTGCCCGAAAAAGACCAAAGAATGCACGGAGTTGGCTTCGCCATCAGAAATGATCTGATGAAACATCTGCCCGAAGCACCCACTGGCATCAACGAACGACTCTCAACCCTCCGAATCGATCTTGCCAAAAACCAACGGGCAACCATCATAAGTGCCTATGCACCAACACTAGATGCTGACGAAGACATCAAGGAGAAATTCTACTGTCAGCTGGACAACGTCCTATCGGGGATACCTAAGGAGGACAAAATCATCCTCCTGGGGGACTTCAATGCAAGAGTTGGGCGAGACTTCGACCTGTGGCCAGGAACCATCGGAAAAAAAGGGGTTGGAAACAGCAACTCAAATGGCATCCTGCTTCTCACCAAATGTGCGGAGCACAACCTTGTCATCACCAACACGCTCTTCCGCCAGAAAAACAAGTTCAAGACATCATGGAAGCACCCCCGGTCAAAGCATTGGCACCTCTTAGACTATGTAATCACACGCGCCAGAGACCGCCGCGACGTGCTCCTCACAAGAGCCATGACAGGTGCTGACGACTGCTGGACTGACCACAGGCTAATTCGATCCTCGATGGCTATCAAGATCGCTCCCAAGCGCAGACTCCAAGGAAGGAAGGCAAGGCGCAAAATGAACACCCAAGCCCTTCAGGAGCCCTCCAGACGAGCCCATCTCCAAACAGCACTCAAGGACCATCTACCCACAGTACACCCCGAAAATGTTGAGGAACATTGGAACAAACTGAAGACCTCCATCATTCAAGCCTGCGAAGAAACTATTGGATACCAAGCCAAGAAACATCAAGACTGGTTTGATGAAAATGACATCGAGATCCAACAGCTAATTGACAAGAAAAGGAAAGCCTTCCAAGCATGGCAGAGAGACATCAACTGTGCTGCTAAGAAAAAGATCTATGCCAGTGCAAAAGCCGAGGTCCAAAGAAGGACAAGAGAACTCAAGAACATCTGGTAGACAAAGAAGGCTGAAGAAATCCAACACCTGGCAGATACCCATGATGCTCAGGGATTTTTCAAAGCCACAAAGGTCATCCATGGACCAAGAAACCATGGCATACAGCCTCTACGCTCATCAGATGGAACCAAACTCCTGAAGGACCAAAAATCAATTGCACTACGTTGGAAAGAACACTACCAAAGCCTCCTGAACCGCAGCTCCAATGTGGCCGAAGAGGTCCTCTCACAAATCCCGCAACAACAAACCAGGGATGAGCTTGCAGCACTGCCTAGTTTGGAAGAAGTCAGCAATGCCATCAGCCAACAGAAGAATAACAAAGCCAGTGGACCAGATGGGATCCCTGCTGAAATCTTTAAAGAGGGAGGACCTGAACTGACACACCAACTCCACCAGCTCATAGAAAAAGTGTGGGTGACCGAGAAAATCCCAGCAGACTTCAAGGATGCCACCATCATCACCCTCTTCAAAAAAGGGGAAAGAACAGACTGCGGAAACTATCGAGGTATCTCCCTTCTAACCTCCGCTGAGAAAATCCTCGCAAGAATCCTTGCAAACCGCCTTTTACCCCTCTCAGAAGACACCCTCCCAGAATCCCAGAACGGCTTCCGCCCCTCCAGAGGAACAGTGGACATGATCTTCACTGCACGACAGCTCCAAGAAAAATGCAGGGAACAAAACCAACCTCTGTACATGGCATTCATCGACCTTGCAAAGGCATTCGACACAGTGAATCGCAGCGCTCTCTGGACCATCCTCCACAAAATCGGGTGCCCAAACAAATTTGTGAACATCCTGCGGCTCCTCCATGATGACATGATGGCAACAGTCTTGGACAGCAGTGGCTCCCAAAGTGACCCATTTAAAGTGGAATCCGGTGTCAAACAGGGATGTGTTATTGCCCCAACTCTATTCTCCATCTTCATCGCTATGATACTTCACCTTGTTGATGGGAAGCTTCCCACCGGAGTGGAAATAATCTATCGGACAGATGGCAAGCTATTCAACCTCAGCAGACTGGAAGCCAAAACCAAGGTTACAACAACATCTGTTATAGAACTCCAGTATGCTGATGACAATGTCGTCTGTGCGCATTCAGAAGATCTACAAGCCACTCTAAACACCTTTGCAGAAGCATACGAGAAGCTCGGCCTGTCATTGAACATTGAGAAAACCAAAGTGCTCTTCCAGCAGTCACCAGCCAATCCTCTCCAATGCCAGAAATACAGCTTAATGGTGTAACATTAGAAAATGTTGACCATTTCCGCTACCTTGGCAGCCACCTCTCCACCAAAGTCAACATCGACACCGAAATACAACACCGCCTGAGCTCTGCAAGCGCAGCATTTTTCCGAATGAAGCAGAGAGTGTTTGAGGACCGGGACATCCGTAGGGAGACCAAGGTGCTTGTTTATAGAGCTATTGTCCTCCCAACCCTGCTATATGCCTGTGAGACGTGGACTGTCTACAGACGTCACATGCAACTCCTGGAACGATTCCATCAGCGCTGCCTCTGGAAAATCCTGCAAATCTCTTGGAAAGACAAGTGGACAAATGTCAGCGTGCTGGAAGAAGCAAAGACCACCAGCACTGAAGCGATGGTCCTCCAACATCAACTCCGCTGGGCCGGCCACGTTGTCCGGATGCCTGACCACCGTCTCCCAAAGCAGTTGCTCTACTCCGAACTTAAGAATGGAAAACGGAATGTTGGTGGACAGGAAAAGAGATTTAAAGATGGGCTCAAAGCCAACCTTAAAAACTCTGGCATAGACACTGAGAACTGGGAAGCCCTGGCCCTTGAGCGCTCCAGCTGGAGGACAGCTGTGACCAGCAGTGCTGCAGAATTTGAGGAGGCACGACTGGAGGGTGAAAGAGAGAAACGTGCCAGGAGGAAAGCGCGTCAAGCCAACCCCGACCGGGACCGCCTTCCACCTGGAAACCAATGCCCTCACTGCGGAAGAAGATGCAGAGCAAGAATAGGGCTCCACAGCCACATACGGACCCACAAGGAAATCCGTAATGGAAGACCATCTTACTCGTCCAACTTAGTAAGTAACAGTGGCATAAAGCAAAGTGAAAAGGAGCAACCTCTCTCAAACATAACAGTTCTGAGACTGATGGTTTCCAATATATGTATGTATATATAGGCTTCAGGGATATGTGTTCAATGAAGAAGCCTTTCAAAGTAAACAGACGAGTCATGAAGTACAAAGGAGAGTCCAATTAGCATCAAAATCCAAGTAATGTCCAGTGATAATGGAGCACTGCTTCATTATCACTGTCTTCGTAGGCATGTGAGTATATGTTTGTTATATGGGTTATCTCTACTTTTATAATTTTGCTGGAAAATACTTGTTACTCTATGTTTTGTTTTAAATATGAGTCTAGAGTCACTGTGCATATCAACTCCTAAAGAAGGGATTCCCCCCCCCCCGAAACAGGGTACAAAAAATACCCGGGCACCTCTGTCGATGCCATTTGGATTTTGCCATAGATTGCTTTGTGTTTGTTCTGACATCCAACAAGTATTCTGGGACACTGTATAGCAATTTGACAAGATACCAACAGCAGTACCACTTAAGTTACTAAAAAAATTAACTTAGGATCTAGCTATGTATCTTACTAAAATCTCCTTTGCTGTTTAGTCACCAATCTCATTTTACAGACACAACATCTTACACCATAAGTAGAATTGCAGTTATAATCAGTCCTGGGTTTGCCAAATAACCGATTATCTTGGCTACAAGGGGTGGAAAGTCGTTTTTGATGGTTTCTTGAATGACATCATACATTTTCTTTTTTCCGCTGGAAAACATAAATCACAGGCACAGGTAAGTGATAGTAACCCTACTTCAGTGATTAGAACACATTCTGGACCTTTTCATAAACAGAATTTGCATGCCAGAGATTTTTTTTAATGTTTTTAAAGGCAGGTGCACCACTTTTCTTCATTTTTGAACATGGAATTTTGGTTTATGATATTTTAAAAAGTCATAAAAGATCAACATACACAGAGATCTTTGCAGGGAGAAAATCCAAGAATGCATTCGTTTTTCTGTTACATAGCTATCAAGTTAAGTTTACAAGACTTAATGGTTACTGGAAAAAAATTATGGATAGTAGAAGGAATACAATTCAATTTTCCTCCTAGTCCATATATTCATAATTCTGTTTCAAATAGGAAGATAACTCAGGCTGGCTCAATGGAATTTAAGAGAGCCTTAATACATACTCCTTTGGTAAAACTCTGTAAAGAGATTGCTACTGACACTGCTGATTAACAAAAGAAGGGTCAAAGATAGTGGAACAAAGGAACAATTTGTACTAAACTGTCTCTACATAGTGTCCGAATCCGCAGTGCAATGAGAAAGTAACTGAATCAAATTAGGTCTCATTGACATGTTAATCTGGTCTAGAGAACAATTTGTGCAGAGCTGATTCAGAATGACAGCAAGTAATGCTTATTAAGACAGTGATGGTGGAACGTATTCAGAAGAAGTCAGTTTCTATTATTTTTCTACCATCTGCCGTCATAATCATGCACTGTAACTACTGGATAGGAAAGAGACAATGCTTGCTTTTGAAAGCACTCATTCTAAGAGGTTTGCTTGATGTTCTTTGGAACTTGAGTTCAAAGTTTGAGTGCCTTCTAGTAGATTATGTGCAACAAAGCGGAGTGTGGACTGCTTCTGTTCATTGTGCAGCTAGCTATGTCCTCTTTACAATATTCCGCTAAATTTTCTCAACGTGCACTATTACGGGAATAGGATCAATCCACAATGTGTTGCTATGGGCCCTCTAAAATCTTTTCTTCCTAATGTTTTCTTCTTCTTGGTATTACCAAACCTTGGGGCTTCAACTAAGGCTGCTGATTCCTCATTCTTGTGCATAGCTTTGTGCTTTTTTTATACATAATTTCTATTATCATATATACATCTAGAATTTTTAGTCCAAAAAATCAACTAAAAACCCTGAATAGACTTATTTATGGGTCAATGTAAGTGCTTCACATAGAATCATAGAATCAAAGAGTTGGAAGAGACCTCCTGGGCCATCCAGTCCAACCCCTTGCCAAGAAGCAGGAATATTGCATTCAAATCACCCCTGACAGATGGCCATCCAGCCTCTGTTTAAAAGCTTCCAAAGAAGGAGCTTCCACCATACTCCGGGGCAGAAAGTTCCACTGCTGAACGGCTCTCACAGTCAGGAAGTTCTTCCTAATATTCAGATGGAATCTCCTTTCTTGTAGTTTGAAGCCATTGTTCCGCATCCGTAGTTCTTATCACAAAAGGCACCATCTTTGAGAAGAGTGGGGAAAGTTGGAAGCTTAGTCCATCCAGGGATAATAATAATAATTTTAAAAATGCCAAGCCCGCTACTCTCTTAACTGTAGTGCCACTTCTGGCCTTTTTGAATACTTTGGCAAAGAAATGGCAATTTATTTTTATTTATTTATCGTGTCAGAAGCGAATTGAGAATACAGTTATAATGTATAGGAAAACCACGAAGTTTAAAACTTGGCATTATACTAAATGTCCTTTGACCAGAAGCTGGCCGCTTAGAGTGTCTCTAGTGTCACTATGAGAAGGCCCTCCATTGTCCACGAGGCAGGGCTCAGACTTCATTGTAGGTGGTCCGTGGTTTGCTCTTTTCCACACTCGCATGTCGTGGACTCCACTTTGAAGCCCTATTTCTTAAGCTTAGCTCTGCATCTCATGGTGCCAGAGCGCAGTCTGATCAGTGCCTTCCAAATCACCCAGTCTTCAGTGTGCCCAGAGGGGAATTTCTCATCTGGTATCAGACACTGATTGGGGTTCCAGGTTTTAACCTGCCACTTTTGTACTCTTGCTTTCTGAGGTGTTCCTGTGAGTATCTCTGTAGATCTTAGGAAGCTATTTATTTAAGATGTTTGCTTGCTGCCTGATATCTGGACAGGATGGGTCAGAGATGTCAATGCCTTAGTCCTTTCATTACTAGCTGCTACTTCCTGATGGAGGTCTAATGGTGCAATGCCGGATAACAGTATAATTTATCCAGTGGTGTGGGGCATAAACATCCTTTGATAATGCGACATGTCCATTAAGAGCCACATCCACTGTTTCAATGTGGTGAGATGTATTCCACACTAGGCATGCATATTCAGCAACAGAGTAACAAAGCACAAGGGCAGACATCTTCACTGTGTCTATTTGTGATCCCCAAATTCTGCCAGTCAGCTTTCATATGATATTATTTCTAGCACCATTTTTTTGCTTGATATTCAAGCAGTGCTTATTGTAAGTCAGAGCATGGTCCAGAGTAATTTCCAAATATTTTGGTGTGCTGCAATGTTCCAGTGGGATTCCTTCCCAGGTAATCATCAGAGCTCAAAATGCTCTGTTCTTTAGATGAAAAGCACACGTGTGCATTTTAGATGGATTAGGAATCAGATGGTTTTCCCTGTAATAGGCAGTGAGAACACCTAAAGCTTCAGAGAGCTTCTGTTCAACCATTTCAAAGCTCCCTGCTTGAGTGGTGATGGCATGATCATCAGCATAGATGAAACTCTCTGTCCCTTCTGGCAGTGGCTGATCATTTGTGTAAATGTTAAACATTGATGAAGTATGAACACTCCCCTAAGGCAGGCCATTCTTCTGTTTTCACCATCTGCTTCTCTGACTCTGGAACTCGACAAAAAAGCTCCAGTTTTGTAGATTTCCTATAAAGTGAGTGATGTGGTAATTCTTTGTGATATTATACATTTTTTTCAGAAGGAGGCAATGATTTACAGTATCATAAGTTGAAGTCTATGAAGACAGCTCCTGTAATCTGCTGTTTTTCAAAGCCATCTTCAATGTGTTGAGTCAGATTCAGCACTTGTGATGTGCAGCTTTCCCCTTTCCTGAAACCAGCTTGCTGTGGGATCATAAATTGGTCTAGTTTTTCCATAATTCTGTGCAGGATAAGTCTTTCCAAAGCTTTATAAAAATGGCAAAACAAGGAGATTGATCTATAGCTTTTTGGATCACATTTTCTCCTTTCCATGGAATGACACCCAACTTATCCATGGGTTATATCAAAATCCACAATTTTGGAAGATACTTGTCTAAGTATTTCTTGTTCATAATTTGGACTCTTGGGATGTCCTACTCATGCCTTGGATTAATGTTTCCTGTTTTTCCTGAATTATAGTGTGGACTTCGTTTTTATGGACTTTGCTAAACTTTACCCTGGACTATTTTTGCTCCTGCTTATCTTCTTACCTAATTGGATTTACCTATTTCTTTAAAGTGCTTTTTACTTGCTGCTTTTTAATTATCTTCAATAAAAGGATTGTTTTCCAATCAACGGTGTGGTGTTTACAGTCAGAGGGCTTTTCCTGTCCTGGAGTGCAACATGTTGTATGTGTCAGCTGCTTGTTCCTGTAAGTGTTAAGAGCAGTGGCTGAGGATGTGCAAAGCGCTTTTCTTTCCCTACCAACACCTGAAAGCTCCCTTCTTATACTGCAAGGATTCCAAAGCAGATTACTTCAAAACAGAAGGAAAATGAAACCATTATCTAAATCCAAACACTTTTCTTCTGATTCTATACTGTCAAGTGCCTTGAGAAGATTGCTC